GAGCAACAAGTTGATGAAATATGTTTTTTACTGTCAACTAGACTTATATTCATCGAGAAAATTTTAAAATTCATAGTATAATTCAGCGTTCAAAAATTATGACCATATAAGTTTGCAACCCCCTCAAATTTAGGGGGGTTTAATATACAACGTTTAATATATAACGCGTATAAACAACGAAGGAGACCTCCCATCTCACTTACGCCATTTGCAGACCCCGTCTTCCCCTCCGAGCTTACGTACTTTATGGAGGAACCCTTAGTGTTGCAAATGTGAAATTTACCGGTAACTTTAACTCTAAATTTACCAGTAAATTTGGACATTTTTATAATAGATACACACCATGGTATTTTACTTGAATAAAATGTTCATAATTTCAAAATTAACTGACTGTTCTTTGAGTTTTAAAAAATGTCAAGCTTGGGACATTTTTTTTTGGAGATAAAATTACAGCTCAAAGACAGTTATGGATGCGTTGCGAATCTTGTAACGATCGGCGTGTGGATCTTGCTGTTCTACTATGGTCAACGATAGGTGCAAGAATTGCCAATGAACATACGAAGCTCATTTAAAGCAAAGTAGTGTTTTTTTGTTAATTGAAAAACCTTTTTAGATTAATTGAAAAATACATTTTTAATTTTATCAATCAATAGCGTAGCAAATGTGATAATGTTCAAAGTAATAAAACGCTGAGAAATTATACTTTGAATTTTAAAATTTTCTCGATGAATATAAGTCTAATTGACAGTAAAAAACATATTTCATCAACGTGTTACTCTCACGTTTGGAGCAGAAGGAGCGCGAATATTTTGGACCTATTTTGTTCCCAGGCTCCAATAACCGCAATTGTTTGCAAAGCATCTATATTTAACATAAGTATAAACATACAAATGTTTGGAGTTAGCGCCATATCTGGTAATTAGATATCTCGAAGACCAAAAAATGCTGGATCCGCCCCTCTCTTAAATTAATAAAAACCAAAAAACAAAATGACACAATTTAATAAAAGACTATAAAAACTAAAAATGTTCAAAAAAAAAAAAAAAAATTCAATATAAGAGCTGATTTTAAAAAAGAAGTTATGAAAGTATTTGTTAATCAATAATTATTAATAACATTCCCAGCCGGCACAATGACGTTGAAATAACGTTGAAACAACGTCGCAAACCGACCATATGCCACGTTGAAACAACGTTGAAATTTGGTTGAATTGGAAAGAAAATCCGACGTCGAAAACTACGACGTTGAAACAACGTCGATGTTTTACGTCGTTTCAACGTTGATCTAACGTCTTATCGACTACATATCAACCATATTTCAACTTTGAATAGGTGATATATTCGATTGATACGTAGTTGATAAGACGTTAAAACAACGTTGAAACAACGTAAATTCAACGTTGATTTTTGTTTTTTATTTTGGTTAAATCAAATTAACTAAAAAATTTTCTCAACTTTAATTGCAATAAATTAACACAATAAAAAAGCAATAATTTGCGCAGAGGATATTATATTTCACGTAAATTAATCAGATACAACTAAATTGCTTCAACGGACTTTATATACAATGCAAATAAAATAAAATGTTTGAAAAAAAAAAAGTTTTATTTATCAGTAATATATTTATCAATTTATCAATAATAACTATTATCAATAGTTCCAGAACAACTAGGAAAAAGTTTGAATGTTATACATCGGGTTAATCGCCTTTTACGCGGCGACCACCACCATTTGATCTGTCAAGTGCGTATTTTAATAAAGTCATTATTCCTTTTCTTATTTCGGCAACTGTAGCAGTCACTTTAATTGACAAAACTCTCCCTATAAAAAAGGTATTGCCTGAGTAATTTTCATCAAATACATCAAAAAGTTAAAAATAAAATAGCATTAAAAAAACGAACTGTGATTTTTAAAAATATATAACTTTACACTTAACTTACAAATAAATACCTAATGTTTGTTCCTTTAAATTTCTTTTAAATTTAAATTTCCTATTAAATTTTGATTATAAACAATTGGTCAACAACCTACATTATACATTGTTATTAATATCATAGTAACAAAAATTGATAAACATGTCTTTTACAAAATACAAATGATTCTTAATGAAAAATTGCACAAAGGTTTCTTACCAAAGGTTTCTCACCCAACGCAAAAGGTTTCTTACCAAACCGTAATGCAAGTAAGAAAAAGAATTTATACAGGGGAAGAGTTTGGTCTAAGGAGACCACTTTCTAAACGCAAGAAACCACCAAGAGCGGACAGTATAATCAGATTTATCTGCCTGGAAAACAGAAAAAAAGCCACTAAACTTATTGACTAAGCTTATCCATAAAGCTGTAATTGTTGTGTCAGACCGGACCATTTGTAGAAGGCTAAAAGAAGAGGGATTGATGTCCAGCCTAAAATGTCAAAAAATGAAAAAAAAAATTCAAAAATATTAAAACAAATGTCAAAAATCTTATATTTATGAAAGATTGTGCAACTTGCCACACAATGAAAGATGTTATGGCTTAGTTGATGTATTGCTATGGCCAGACAACTTGCATGATCTTAACCCCATAGAAAACATTTGGAAAATAATAAAGCAAGAGATTGGAAAAAAAAAATCCTACTAATAAGCAAGATTTTATGGAAGAGATTATCAAGATCTGGCATAATAACCCAGAGTTGACAGAAACTATAAAAAATAAATTGCAAGCATGCCACAATGTGTTGAAGCAGATATTGCAAATAAAAGTGTTTTTGCAAAATATTTATACTTTGTATATATTTTATATAATTTATCATAATAATTAATAAATATTCAAAATGTTCAATTTTATTTGTTTATTTTTATCAAGTACAACTTTACAAATAAAAGAAAAAACTTTAAATTGTACCATTATTTTATATATATATCGAGTAAAAAAAAAGGTCAAGTATGCATTACAAATCAACCTTTGTACTTTAAGGTTGTTCTTTAGCTCAAGGAAATACAAAAGTAAGAGAAAACAGTTTAAAAAAAAATCAAGACAAAATCAGACAAAAAAAAAAGATTTATTTTATGCCTGATTAGAATTTGTCAAACTTTTAAAAATATATGCTAAATATATTTTTGACACAAGTTTAAAACAAACTATAATAAAAAGATTCAAAAGAATTTTTATTTAAAAGTATTTTTAACAAACCTTTGCATCACATTTTTTGTATTTATCTTAATGGTTTTATCTCCAATTTTAGAAAGTTAGTTAACCTAAAGGTTTAAGGAAATAATTACACCACATTATTTTTATAGTTACTTTTATAAAAAGTTACAAGTAGATTAACTTAGGCTAAGTTATTGTTAAATACTTAATCAAAAAACAATAAAAAAACTGCAAAAAGTTATGGTTTGAAACAACCCATCCCTCCATACCTCACCCAAGAGTCATTTAAACTGTTATCATAATCACTAAATTACTGCTGCAAGTTCATTCATAGAATTTTAGAACTATTTGTCATGATATTACTTTAATTACTGGAAAGAGCTTTTACTAACATCTCCTTCTAACAATAAAGATATATCAGAAAGACAAAAGAACCAAACATTAATTAATTTCTAAAAGCGTTGAAAAACAAGAACAAAACATTTATAAAATAAAACGTTATTCATAAATTAAATTAAATGTATTAATTTAGCAATCAATAAAATGTGTAAATCACTGAAGCATAGAAAAAAATGTTCAGAATCTTTTCTTCCTAAATCAACTTGCAGACAGACAGTTAATACCTTGAGCTACAGTATGTGGAGTATGCATAAAAATTGTTTTCTGTTTCTTTTTTTGCGTTACAGGAGTAGGTACTTGTTTACTATTCTGTTGGTTATTATGTTTTCTCTTGCATAAGCATAGTAGTGGTTCCTATAAAAATTAATATCAAAATAAAACTAATAATACTTGAATTAAATATCTTTTAAAATAGTTACCGTTTTCTGAATCTGATTCTATCTGAGTATCACTAGTAGTGGCAAATTCAAATTTATCACATAACTTATGATCTAAGAATATTCATTCAATTTAAAAATGTTCTAAATACATTATATAATAAAGAATATATAATAAAGAATATATCATAAGAATATAAAAACAAGTAAAAAAAAGTAATGACTTAATGTTTATATAATAAAAAAATTACATTATCTCCATGACATTTAGTTTTGAGCAGCTTAAATCTGTATAAATTAAACTGTGGTTTACGCATTTCATTGAAACAATTTATCACATTTAATGATGATGGCCAGCACAAAAAATTATCAATTGAATTTTCTCTCTCTATTTCTCTGTATTTTCTATCCAAACAGCTCGAATGTACATTTTGCTTGCCCTACTATACTTTTTCAACTGGAAAAGTATAGTAGAAAATATAATAGAAAAAATACTCATATATAAAAAATTTGTATATAAAAAATAAAACTTAATATATTTAAACAATATAACTTTCCATTAGTTAGTAAAAAGCCATCTTAGGTTAATAAATAATTATTCTTTAACTGTTCCAATTAAGGCAACTCTTCCCTGTGTGTGTGTGTGTGCGTGTGTGTGTGTGTGTGTGTAAATATATAAAAAATATATATATACATATATATAATATGCATATACATATATATATATATATATATATACACACACATATATATAATATATATAGTATATATAGTATACATACACATAATATAAATATATATACTATATATATATATATATATATATATATATATATATATATATATATATATATATATATATATATATATATATATATATATATATATATATATATATATATATATATATATATATATATATATATATATATATATATATATATATATATATATATATATATATATATATATATATATATATATATATATATATATATATATACTATATATACATATATACTATATATACTATATATATATACTATATATACTTTTTATATATATATATATATATATATATATATATATATATTATA